GATCCCATTCATTGACTCCATATACAAATTGTATTCACAGAGGGAGGTAAAGGCTGGATTTGAGGCTACTGTGAATTACATTATTTATTATTAAACCCCCTCATTAATAAGGAGCTCATTGTTTTCATTTGGCATATTTTATCTGATAGATTTATTTAAAAAACTAGAAACAAGGAGTTCCTTTTAATCTGCTCTAGTTGGGCTCTAGTAACCCATACACTTTATGCAATTTTAAAATCTGATTTCTAAAAAACAATGGGTTTCTTTTTTCTCATGTAAATTGTATTGAGTTTTTTGTTTTGTAAAACATACAACAGATATTTTATGCCACACCGACCTTTACAAATTTACTTTACCGTTAGCCAGTTGAGAAAGGCAGACCAAAAAACAATGGGTTTCTAACACATTCTTCTGTTCTGTCAGTTTACCCACCAGCTGCTACAGATCCAGTTTCTACATTTCTGTTAAAGGCGCATAGCCCTGTTATATACCTATACAAAAAAGACCAAAAACCATTTGATTATGACGAAATACCCTTATATACACAACGCATCTGTCATAACCCTAACCCTTAATCCCTTTTTAGCCTAAATAGAATTCCAGCTCTCTGTCCATCCGCCCATCCGCCCATCCGTCCATCCATCCATCTATACAATTCAAACGTTAAAAAGTTATGAATATGACACACTCTTGTTTTATATAAAATCTTTATATAAAACAATTGTGTGACCTCTGTCACCTTTTATTCCCCAGAAAGACTGTTCATCGTGGGATCAAACGTCACAGATGCAATCCCAATTTATCCACTCTTATTACCTCACAGCGAGATTCTGCACACAGCACAGGTCCAGGTAGAAAGCCTTATTTTTATATTTTGTTGGCAATGAGACAATAAAAGGTTCCCCCTCTGTCCTCCTATTGTACCATAGCTGGAAATGATAACAGTAAAGCAGAGCAGAAGAGTATTTGAAGTAAGGTAACAGCTACAGTGTGGAGGATAATTATTGCTTTCCTTTATATATTTAGCATGTATTTTTTCAATAGAAATAGGAAATCACTGTTTGCAGGTCAGCTAAAGCACAACTGTGAGTAATTGAGAACATTTATAAGAATAAACATTTTAGTCATGTTTTGTGAAAAACGTTTTAATTAAAACAATGTCAATCACATGGACGCACACAAAACTAGGTGCTATAATAAGTTTAGTCCAGATCAGTTATGCCCAATGACACAAAACAGGAAAAT